CCCTTTCTTATAGGCAGTTTCTTATAAATCCTTTGAAATATATTTTATTTTATTTTTATTTATTTATTTATTTATTTATTTATTTATTTTTCAACGTTTATTTATTTTTGGGACAGAGAGAGACAGAGCATGAACGGGGGAGGGGCAGAGAGAGAGGGAGACACAGAATCGGAAACAGGCTCCAGGCTCTGAGCCATCAGCCCAGAGCCTGACGCGGGGCTCGAACTCCCGGACCGCGAGATCGTGACCTGGCCGAAGTCGGATGCTTAACCGACTGCGCCACCCAGGCGCCCCTATTTTAAACATATAAACAGATTTTTAAATTTTATAAAAAGAAATTTAGTATGCTTTTAGAGAGAGTAAAGCATTTCTAACTAAAATTTTTAAAAAATTTTTTTAGTTATGTTTACTTATTTTTAAGAGCAGTGAGAGACAGAGCATGAGAGGGGCAGAGAGATAGAGCCACAGAATTCCAAGCAGGCTCCAGGCTGTGAGCCTGAGGTGGGACTCAAACTCGTGAACCGCGAGATCATGACCTGAGCTGAAGTTGGATGCTCAACCAACTGAGCCACCCAGGCAAACCATTAAAAAAATTTTTTTTTCTAACTCTTATAAATGGCCCAACCCTGTCTGTAATGACTGTTTCAGGCATTCTGTATCCTGGAGATATTTAGAGGAAATAGATAAACGATCATCAGTTAATTTTCTGGAGTATTTTTCTCTTGCAATTTATTTGTTGAAGAAACTAGATTGTTATCCTATAGAATTTCCCATGTTCTGGATTTTGCCAAGTGGTGTCTTTCCTTTGTTTTATGAATTTCTTGCAAATTGGTATTGGATTGAGAGGCTAAGATTCAGATTTGATTTTTTTAAATTTTTTAATGTTTATTTATTTATAATTTTCTAGCAGTCACATTTTATTTTTTTTATTGCTGTGTATATATTTTATTTATTTATTTATTTATTTTAATTTGAAATTTATTGTCAAATTGATTTCCAGACAACACCCAGTGCTCATCCCAACAGGTGCCCTCTATGTTTATTTATTTTTGAAAGAGAGAGACAGAGTGTGAGTGGGGAAGGGGCACAGAGAGAGAGGGAGACACAGAATCTGAAGGAGGCTCCAGGCTCCGAGCTGTCAGCACAGAACCCAACATGGGGCTTGAACTCTCAAACCACAAGATCGTGGCCTGAGCCGAAGTCAGGTGCTTAACCAACTGAGCCACCAGGTGCCTCTGGATTTGGTTATTTTAGTAAGCCTACTTCATAGATGGTGGTGAATTCTTACATCAGGAGGCATATACTATTTGGTTATCATATACTATCTGGTTATCTTTCTATTGTTGCTCAAAGTGCTGATATTCTCATTGTATTATTCCTTCTTCACTTATTAGCTGCCATATTTTTATAATGAAGAACTTCCCCTCAGAGTAGTAGCTGAAAAGGCAAGATAGGGGCACCTGGGTGGCTCCGTCGGTTGGGTGTCAGACTTCTGCTCAGGTCATGATCTCACGGTTTGTGGGTTCGAGCCCCGCATGGGGCTCTGTGCTGACAGCTCAGAGCCTGGAGCCTGCTTCAGATTTTGTGTCTCCCTCTCTCTCTGCCTCTCCCCAACTTGTGCTCTCTCTCTCTCTCTCTCTCAAAAATAAATAAGATGTAAGAAAAGGCAAGATAAATGTTTGATACTTTATCTAGAGTTTTCAAAACAGTGGGTTGGTACCCTATCATCTTACAATGACTAGTTTTTTTTAAGTAACATTATGAACTCATGAATTTAAATCTATTTAATGTGTTACATTGTGGTTATTATCTTTGTTAAATTGGGATGGCTATATTGGAAGCCTCTTAAGGTTGGCTCTTGAGTTCTTTTGATAAAACCTTATAGTCTTCAATAGTTTCTCCATTTCTCTCTTCACTATACACACTATAAATCAAGTGTAATCCCTACCATGTGAGAGAAATTTGTCTTGTTAGAGTCATCAAAAACCTCCATATGTTACCAAATCCCTGGCCATTCTCCATCTTCATCTTTCTTGCTCTCCCAGCAGTATGTGTGCCTGCTTATATATTTTTTACTTTTTTTTAATGTTTATTTATTCTTGGGAGAAACAGAGTGTGAGGCGGGGAGGGGCAGAGAGAGAGGGAGACACAGAATCCTAGCAGGCTCCAGGCTCTGAGCTGTCAGCACAGAGCCCAAAGCGAGGCTCAAACCCACGAACTGCAAGATCATGATCTGAGTGGAAGTTGGACAGTTAATCGACTGAGCCACCCAGGCGCCCCAGTACCTGCTAACTAAAAGTCTTTCTTTGCTTGTCTTCTGAGACACTTCTTTTCTGGTTTTCCTCCTACCTCACTGAACATTTGCTCTCTGTCCTCTTTGCTGGATCTTCCCCCTTTCCTAACTTAGAAAGTGAGAGTAGATAGTAAAACAGTTCAAGGACAAACTCTAGAACCTTCCACCGTTTACAGGTTAAAAAGAAGAGGAAGATACAGCAAAGGAAGAGCAAACTAAACAAAAAGCTAGCAGAAGGAAGGAAACAATAAATATTAGAACAGAGATAGAGAATGGAAAAATAATAGAATAAATGAAACCTGATGTCTTCGTGGAAAATAACAAAATTGACAAAACCTAGCTAGCTAGTCTAAGACAGAGACACAAATAACTAAAATCAGAAGTAAAAGTGAAGACATTACTACCAAACTTACAGAAATAAAAAGGAGTGTGAGAGAATACTATGAACAATTGTACACCAACAAATTAGATTACCTATGTGAAATGGGAAAATCCCTAGAAACACAGGAATTACCAAAACTGACTCAAGCAGAAATCATAAAATCTGAACAGGCCTGTAACAGGTAAAGATAATGAATCAGTAACCAAAACCTCCCAACAAAAAAAGTCAGGACCAGATGGCTTACTGATGAATTCTACCAAACATTTAAAGAATTAACACCAATTCTTTTCAAACTCTTAAAAAAGAAAATAAAGGAGGAGGAGGAGGAATGTGCTAACTCATTCCATGAGACTAGCATTACCCTGACACCAAAGCCAGAAAAATGCATTACAAGAAAAGAAAATTACAACTCAGTGTCATTCAGTTCATTCACAATATTATGCAACCATCACCTTTATCTAGCTCTAAATCATTTTCACACCCCATAATAAAACCCCATGTCCATTAAGCAATCACACTCCTTATTCCCCCTATCCCCAGGTCTTGGCAACCACCAATCTTCCATTTTTATGGATTTAGCTCCTCTGAATAATTTATATAAATGGGATCATACAATATGTGATCTTGTATTTTGGGCTTTCTTTCACTAAATATAATGTTTTCAAGGTTTATTCACATTGTAGAATGTAACAGTAGTTCGTTTTCTAAATATTTATTTTTGAGAAAGAGAGAATGAGAGCAGGTGCGTAAGCAGGGGAGGGGCAGAGAGAGAGGGAGACAGAGGATCCAGAGCAGGCTCCCTGCTGACAGCAGACAGCCTGATGCAGGGCTTGGACTCACAAACCTTGAGATCATGACCTGAGTTGAAATTGGATGCTTAACCGACTGAGCCACCCAGGCGCCCCACAATAATTCGTTTTCTAAAACAGGGAAAACTTTCAATATTTTACCGAGAGAGAATCCTAAGTAAGGTCCACATGGTCAGTGCGGAGTGATATGGGGCTCAAACTCAGGAACCCTGGGATCATGACCTGAGCCAAAATCGAGAGTCAGCTGCTTAACCGACTGAGCCCCCTCTATCAAAAATTTTTTAACTCCTATTTCTAGTTTGCTAATTTTTTTTTCAACGTTTATTTATTTTTGGGACAGAGAGAGACAGAGCATGAACGGGCGAGGGGCAGAGAGAGAGGGAGACACAGAATCGGAAACAGGCTCCAGGCTCTGAGCCATCAGCCCAGAGCCCGACGCGGGGCTCGAACTCACGGACCGCGAGATCGTGACCTGGCTGAAGTCGGACGCTTAACCGACTGCGCCACCCAGGCGCCCCGTTTGCTAATTTTTTTAAGTTTATTTGAGAGCGAGAGAGTGCACGCATGTGGGGAAGGGCAGAGAGAAAGGAGAGAGAGAATCCCAAGCAGCCTCCATACTGCCAGCACAGATCCCAAAGTGGTCCCACCAACAGTGGGATCATGACCTGAGCCTAAACCAGGAGTTGGCCACTTAACAGACCGAGCCACCCAGACAACTCTAGAGCATGTGACTCCTGATTTTGGTTGTCAGAGCCACACCTTGGGTGTAGAAATTACTTAAAAATTAAAAAAAAATTTTTTTTAAGATTTTATTTTTAGAAAATAAGCCTTTTAAAAAACATGGAGTTGTTCCTTTCACCACTAACGTGTGAATCTAAAAGAAATGTAATATTGTAGACATCAAGAGAATGAGCACTATTCAAAAAGGAATACCCCACAAATGTTCCCATGGCAAAACTGGAGCAGTCTACAGTGTTACCCAGCATGCTCTTGGCATTGTTGTAAACAAATAAGGGCAAGATTCTTGCTGAGAGAATTAATATACATACTGCATTTAACAAGCACTCTAAGAGCTGAGACAACTTCCTGAACTGTGTGAAGGAAAATGATCAAGAAAGAAGCTAAAGAGGGGCACCTGAGTGGCTCAGTCAGTTAAGTGTCTGACTCTTGATTTCTGCCCAAGTCATGATCTCACGGTTCATGAGTTCGAGCCCCCCAGCAGGCTCTACACTGACAATGCTGAACCTGCTTGGGATTCTCTCCCTCTCTCTCTGCCCCTTCCCTGCTCACATTCTCTCTCTCTCAAAATAAATAAACTTAAAAAAGAAAGAAGCCCAAAGAGAAAGGTACTTGGGTTCAATTGAAGCCCCAGCCTGTTTACCCAGAGAAGTATACTTTATGACAACCAGTAGAAAGGAGCCTGAGCTGCTGGAACCCATTCGTTATGGATTCATGACAGGTGTAAAAAGAATACAAGACCCCTGGACTGTTTAAAAAAAAAAAAAAGCAATGGTAATAGTCTCCATAATATCTTCATTTAATTCACCAATTTCTGGTCCTTGTGAAAACCAGACAGATACTGGAGGATGTGTGTGAACTATTGTAAATCCAGCCACGTAGTAGCCTTACTTGTAGCTGCCTTGCCTGATGTGGTATCATTGCTAGAGCAGATGAACAGGTACATGGTATGCAATCCTTGATCTGGCAAATGCATTCTTTTCCATCCCTATCAGAAAGAAGAAAAGAAACAGTGCACATTGGAGAAACAGTTCACATTGGAGAAACAGTTCACCTTCACTTGGAAAAGGCAACAATGTACATTTATAGTCTTACCCGAGGGGTATGTTTGCTCTTCTGCTCTCTGTCATTACACGATCTGAAGAGACCTAACCAGCTAGGCATCTCTCAGAGCATCACTATATTGAGCTGCTATGTTGATAACATCATGCAACATGGACTGGTTCAGCAGGAAGTAGCAAGTATGTCACATGCCTTGGTAAAACACTGGCTCTCCAGAGGGTGAGATAGTAACCTTTTTTCAGAGTTCCCTTCACAATTAGTTGAAGCACTGTGACTGCTCAGCAATCAACTTTTCCATCTGGCCAATCTTGCCTCCTTTCTTTCTGCAATTCCCAATCCCAAGAGCACTCACTAATAAACTGCCTGTCCTTCAATCTCGATCTTAGAAATGGCTTCCCAGGAGCACCTGGGTGGCTCAGTCAGTGAGGCATCCAACTGCAGGTTGGGTCACGGGTTCATGGGTTTGAGTCCCCACATTGGGCTCCGCTGCTGACAGTTCAGAGTCTGCTTGGGATTCTCGCTCTCTCCCTGTCTCTCTGCCCCTCCTCCACTCTCTCTCTCTCTCTCTCTCAAAATAAATAAACTTTAAAAAAAAGAAAAGGGATGGTTTCCCTAGAACTGAATGTGTGATCAAGGGAAAAACTTTGCCAGGAAAAAAAATAAACATAAAACAAATTAGGGTTTTATTTATTTATTTATCTTAAAAAATTTTTTATAGTTGTTTATATTTTTTATTACTTTTTAAATTTATTTATTGTTTAATTTACATCCAAGTTAGTTAGCATATGGTCCAACAATGATTTTTTTTTTATTTTTTTTTCAACGTTTATTTATTTTTTTGGGACAGAGAGAGACACAGCATGAACAGGGGAGGGGCAGAGAGAGAGGGAGACACAGAATCGGGAACAGGCTCCAGGCTCTGAGCCATGAGCCCAGAGCCTGACGTGGGGCTCGAACTCCCGGACCGCAAGATCGTGACCTGGCTGAAGCCGGACGCTTAACCGACTGCGCCACCCAGGCGCCCCTAACAATGATTTCAAGAGTAGATTCCTTAATGCCCCTTACCCATTTAGACCTTCCCTCCCTCCCACAACCCCTCCAGCCATCCTCTGTTCTCTATATTTAAGAGTCTTTTGTGTTTTGTCCCCCTCCCTGTTTTTATATTATTTTTGCTTCCCTTCCCTTATGTTCATCTGTTTTGTATCTTAAATTCTTCATATGAGTGAAGTCATATGATATTTGTCTTTCTCTGACTAATTTCGCTTAGCATAATACCCTCTAGTTCCATCCACGTAGTTGCAAATGGCAAGATTCAGTCTTTTTGATTGCTGAGTAATATTCCATATATATATATATATATATATATATATATATATATATATATATATATCACATCGTGTGTGTGTGTGTGTGTGTGTGTGTGTGTGTGTGTGTGTGTGTGTATACCACATCTTCTTTATCCATTCATCTGTCAATGGACATTTGGGCTCTTTCCATACTTTGGCTATTGTTGATAGCACTGCTGTTAACAGTGGGGTGCATGGGCCCCTTTGAGACAGCACACCAGTATCCTTCAGATAAATATCTAGTAGTGCAATTGCTGGGTTGTAGGGTAGTTCTAATTTTAGTGTTTTGAGGAACCTCCATACTGTTTTCCAGAGTGGCTGCACCAGTTTGCATTCCCACCAGCAGGGTGAAAGTGTTCCTCTTTCTCCACATCCTTGCCAACATTTGTCGTTGTCTGAGTTGTTCATTTTATCCATTCTGACAAGTGTGAGGTGGTGTCTCATTGTGGTTTTGATTTGTATTTCCCTGATGATGAGTGATGTTGAGCATTTTTTTCATGCATCTGTTCGCCATCTGGATGTCTTTGGAGAAGTGTCTATTTATGTCTTTTGCCCATTTCTTCACTGGATTATTTGTTTTTTGGGTGTTGAGTTTGGTAAGTTCTTTATAGATTTTGGATACTAACCCTTTACCTGATATGTCATTTGCAAATATCTACTCCCATTCTGTCAATTGCCTTTTAGCTTCACTGATAAAAATGTTTTTAATTTTATTTATTTTTGAGAGAGAGGGAGAGAGAACAGATGAGGGAGGGAGGGGCAGAGATAGAGAGGGAGAGGGAGAATCCGAAGCAGGCTCTGTACTGCCAGCATCAGAGCCTGATGTGGGTTTGAACCCAAGAACTGCGAGATCATGACCTGGGCTGAAATCAAGAGTCAGACACTCAGTTGACTAAGCCACCCAGGTGCCCCAAAATTGGGGTTTTACTATGCGATAAAATTCAAGGCAAAAAATATGAACCAAGGAGACAGCACTACATAATGATAAAATAAACAAAGAAAGCAAGAAAACATAACCAACATAAATGTGCTTGGCAATATAGGCTCAAAATATATAAATAGTAATAGTTAAGTGGTACCTGGCTGGCTTAGCTGGTAGAGCATGCGACTCTTGATCTTAGGGTTGTTTGTTTTGTTTTTTAACTTTTTTAACGTGTATTTGTTTTGAGAGAGATAGAGAGCAAGGGAGGGGCAGAGAGAGAGGGAGACAGAACCCAAGCAGGCTCCACGCAGAGCCCAACATGGGGCTTGAACCCATGAACTATGAGATCATGACCTGAGCCAAAATCAAGAGCCAGAGAGGCTTAATCAACTGAAACACCCAGGCACCCCATTGATCTCAGGCTTGTAAGTTCAAGCCTCAAGTTTTATGTAGAGATTACTTAAAAATAAAATCAGGGGTGCCTGAGTGGCTCATTCGGTTCAACGTCCAACTCTTGATTTCAGCTCAGGTCACAATTTCCTGGTTCGTGGGATTGAGCCCAGTATTGGGCTTTGCACTGACAGCTTGAAGCCTACTTGGGATTCTCTCTCTTCCTTTCTCTCTGCTCCTCCCCAACTCTTTCTCTCTAAATAAATAAATAAATAGATAGATAGATAGATAGATAGATAGTAATAGTTAACCGTATTGAGTAACTTCTATGTTACTCAGTAGAGCCAGGCATGCTCTATATACATGTGGTAATTCATACTCTTTATTAGAGGCATGTGAAAAGTACTTTTATTCTCCCCCTTTGCACTTATAAAAAACAATAAATTGAAAGACAGATACCATATGTTTTCACTCTTATGTGGATCCTGAGAAACTTAACAGAAACCCATGAGGGAGGGGAAGGAAAAAAAAAAAAGAGGTTAGAGTGGGAGAGAGCCAAAGCATAAGAGACTCTTAAAAACTGAGAACAAACTGAGGGTTGATGGGGGGTGGGAGGGAGGGGAGGCTGGGTGATGGGTATTGAGGAGGGCACCTTTTGGGATGAGCACTGGGTGTTGTATGGAAACCAATTTGACAATAAATTTCATATATTGAAAAAAAACAATAAATTTAGGAACAAACATAAATAAATCAACTATTGGAACTGGAAATGTTTACAGAGCTCTCTTAGAAACAGATGGATGAAGCAGACACAATAAGCAGAGATACAGAAGATGTGAATAATACAATGAGTTCAGTGTATTGTATATGGAGAATTCTACATCTAACAAACAGATAGTATGCTTTTTCTAGTACATGTGAAACATTACAAAAGATGACTATGTACTAACTTACAAAAGAAGTCTTAATATTACATTTTAATTTTTTCTAAATTTATTTTTATTCTTAATTTTTTAAGGTAATCTCTGTGCCCAAGGTGGGGCTTGAACTCATGACCACAAAATCAAGAGTCTGATGCTCCGTGGACTGAACCAGCCAGGCACCCCAATACTACATTTCAAAGCATCAGTATAACACAGCCTATGTTCTATGACTGTAACACAATCACATGGGAAATAACTAATTAAAGGATAGCTTAAATTTTTTTTTATGTTTATTTATTTTTGAGAGAGAGAGATAGATCATGAGCCGGGCAGGGGCAGAGAGAGATGGAGACACAGAATCTGAAGCAGGCTCCAGGCTCCGAACTGTCAGCACAGAGCTCCATGTGGGGCTCAAACTCACAGACTGCAACATTATGACCTGAGCTGAAGGCAGACGCTTAAGCAACTAAGCCACCCAGGCGCCCCATGGATAGCTTTTTAAATCCCCAAATGTCTGGAACCTAAGCACATACTGTTAGTAAATCTTGAATTAAAAAAGGAGTAAGAGGGGAAAAAAAGGAGTAAGAGAAATTATGAAATACTTTAAAATAAAAGTTTGTCATATTTTCTAGGATACAACTATTTTTTATTTATTTGTTTATTTTTAATTTTTAATGTTCATTTTATTTTTGAGAAAGAGCATGCACGAGTGAGGGAGGGGCAAAGAGAGGCAGAGACAGAGGACTGGAAGTGGGCTCTGGACTGACAGCAGTGAGCCCCATGAGGGCTTGAACTCATGAACCTTGAGATCATGACCTGAGCCAAAGTCAGACACTCAACTGACTGAGCCACCCAGGCACCCCCTGTTTTTATTATTATTATTATTATTAATTATTATTATTATTATTATTTTAATGTAGGATACAACTAAAGCTTTAATTAGAGATGTAGAATATTAAATACATTTGAAAGAAAAAAAAAAAGTTTGGGCACAAATGAAAAGGCATTCAACTCAAGAATGAATCAGTGGGACGCCTGGATGGCTCAGTCAGTTAGTTGCCCTGCTTCCACTCAGGTCATGATCTCACTCCTTGTGAGTTTGAGCCCCATGTCCGGCTCTGTGCTAACAGCTTGAAGCCTAGAGCCTGCTTCAGATTCTGTCTCCATCTCTCTGCCCCTCCCCTGCTCACATACTGTCTCTCTCAAATATAAAAAGTGAAACAAAAAAAATTTTTTTTAAAGAATGAATCAGTTATTAGAAAGAGATTTTAATTATCTGAGCAAATGGGTCAGGAAGAAATTCAAAACTTGAAAATGCCAGCAAACATTAAAGAAAGTACAAAATATTTTTAAATGTTTGTTTATTTTTGAGAGAGAGAGAGCGTGCACATACTACTGCATGAGCCTCTTGTGCTCATGAGCAGGGGAGGGGGGGAGAGAGGGAGAGAGAGGAGAATCCCACCTGGGTGGCTGAGTTGGTTAAGCATCCAACTCTTGATTTGGGATCATGTCATGATCTCACAGTTTATAGGACAGAGCCTTGTTTTGGGCCCTTTGATGACAGTGCAGAGCGTTCTTGGGAGTCTCTCTTTCTCTTTCTCTCTCCCCTCCTCTGCTCTCTCTCTCTCTCTCTCTCTCTCTCTCTCTCTCTCAAAATAAATAAATAAACATAAAAAATTATCTCCAGGTGCCTGGCTGGCTTGGTCGGTAGAGTATGGGACTCTTGATCTCATGGTCATGAGCTTAAGCCTCACCTTGGGCATGGAACCTACTTAAAATAAATACATTAAATAAATAATTATTGCACACTCTTTTTCTGGTTCCTGAAAAACTCATAAAGTAGTGAGAAACTATTCTTGGAAGTCAGTAGATTATGCCTATAAAATCATCTGGGTTGAGACTTTTTGGTAGAAAACTCTTTGATTAATATTCTAATTTCTTGGGGCACCTGGATGGCT